CAATGAATACTTACATCCACACTGCCACACAATGAATACTTACATCCACACTGCCACACAATAAATACTTACATCCACACTGCCACACAATAAATACTTACATCCACACTGCCACACAATGAATACTTACATCCACACTGCCACACAATGAATACTTACATCCACACTGCCACACAATAAATACTTACATCCACACTGCCACACAATGAATACTTACATCCACACTGCCACACAATGAATACTTACATCCACACTGCCACACAATGAATACTTACATCCACACTGCCACACAATGAATACTTACATCCACACTGCCACACAATGAATACTTACATCCACACTGCCACACAATAAATACTTACATCCACACTGCCACACAATAAATACTTACATCCACACTGCCACACAATGAATACTTACATCCACACTGCCACACAATGAATACTTACATCCACACTGCCACACAATGAATACTTACATCCACACTGCCACACAATGAATACTTACATCCACACTGCCACACAATAAATACATCCACACTGCGTTAATTATCGCACGTTGAGTCACACTTTCAGTTTGTGAATGCTTCTGGTAACATTATAAGCATCGTTTTCTTCACATTAGGCTGGGTTAGGTTTGTTTAGAATAAATTGTTAGTTGGGGTTAGGTTAAGTTAGGTTAGGCTGGTGTGAGTTAGGTCAGGGTAGGTTAGGCTGGTGTCTGTTTGGTAAGGTTAGGCTGGTGTGAGTTAGGTTAGGCTTGTGTTACGATAAATGAGGCAAATTATATGACTCAACGTTACCTAATTAACCAATCCAATACTAAAACTAATTTAACCGATCGTAAACTATTCTAACGTAACTTAACATAACCTACCCAACATAAATTAACAACTCAAGTTAGCAGTGTTTTACAATATCACTACTTAATTAGTAAAACTCATGTGCAACACATGTGTGTTTTATTAGGGAAGTGTCTCTTGTGTGTAGCAGGCCTGCTCATTCAAATGTGGGGCCCATTTGCCACGCTATCTCCACCTGCTACACCTTATCTCTGGTATCTATGTCTTCTCTTCCTGCCTCTGCTTCAGACTAAGGGCCTGAGCACCTTCTATAAATAATGATAAGACATTTTAATGCTGATAAGACATCTTACTACTGATAAGACATCTTACTACTGATAAGACATCTTACTACTGATAAGACGTCTTACTACTGATAAGACGTCTTACTACTGATAAGACATCTTACTGATAAGACGTCTTACTACTGATAAGACGTCTTACCACTGATAAGACATCTTACTACTGATAAGACATCTTTACTACTGATAAGACACCTTGTACTATCATCTTCACCTTTTATCCGTGCTGAGGGACTAAGCATCTCAAATTACCTCTTCACTTCTTCCATCTCTAATTTCATGATCGCTTCTGTATATGACTGAAGAAGTTTGCCGAGAGAGCGAAACGTCTCGGTATTAAAGATATCCAGATGTTGCATATGTTTTATTTATCTAATTTAACCCAACCTAACCTAACTTACCGTAGCATAACCTAATCCAACCTAACTTAATCAAGCATAAGTTAATCTACCGTATCTTAGCCTATTCTAATATAACCTAAACTAACTAGCGACGAATATCATATTTCCCGCTTTAACGGGCAGTGGAAATCGATATCTATGCTTAACCAGCTTCTGATATCTTATATCCCCTCTAACCCGGCTTCTGATATCGTATTCCCCGCTTAATAGGATTCTGATATCGTATTCCTCGCTAAACCGGTATCGGATATATATTATATATGTGTAATATGGGTTTCTGAGCCGGAACCTGCCTGCATCCCACAGGACTTCAGCAAGCGGCAGCATCCGGCTCATCTCGTATAAACGGTCTCTCTTCCAAAATTCAGATGAACGGGCGAGGCTTGTGCGAGATAGCAAGGTTTCATAGCTGTAGCAAGACTGTGATGGCTTTCCGATGGCTACAGCGATTTCTCATAACTCTCTTCTCTCTCTCTCTCTCTCTCTCTCTCTCTCTCTCTCTCTCTCTCTCTCTTCTCTTAAAATAGTGTCGAACCTTCAGATATATTCTGCAATATATATTTATTTTTACGATTAATTTATTCGATTCTTGTTGTTCATTAACTGAGAGGAAGAGCGACCATCCCGGCCAGCGTCTGAGAGCAGTGTTGAGGCCATCCTGGCCAGGGTCTGAGAGCAGTGTTGAGGCCATCCTGGCCAGGGTCTGAGAGCAGTGATGACGCCATCCTGGCCTCTCACCTACGTTACACTTACGTTACTGGTTCATGTGTTCCTCTCACATTTACGTTAGTGGCAGTTATGCTGTTCTCACACCTACGTTAGTGGTAGTTATGTTGTTCTCACATCTACGACAGTGGTAGTTATGTTGTTCTCACATCTACGTTAGTAGCAGTTATGTTGCTCACTTTTGTGTTTGTGGTAGTTGTGTTGCTCACTCTTGTGTTTGTGGTAGCTGTGTTGCTCACTCTTGTGTTTGTGGTAGCTGTGTTGCTCACTCTTGTGTTTGTGGTAGCTGTGTTGCTCACTCTTGTGTTTGTGGTAGCTGTGTTGCTCACTCTTGTGTTGATTAATAAAACACATGAACAACACCTGGGTGTCTTCAATTTGAAATCGTTTTCCCATCCACTGGCTGGTGAAACAGAGCTTATTGGAGGTGTTGCAACTGGAAACAGTAGAAGACGAGATGAGTCCCTCAGCCTAGATGACAGCGTTCAGCAACCTAGTCTAGATGATGGAGTTTCTATGTGAAACACAAGCCTTATTTAAATGTTCCATTCTGCTGGCGTATTGACGTTCAGAAATGCCTGTGTGGGTGTTTCTTGATATTTACTCAAAGTATATTTGGTCACAGTTGTTGGAAGGGATTGTGGTTTGGACTTGTTCGTGGCGTCTCTTGCTGGTGATGGTGGTGATTGTAGCGGAGTCAGTGAGAGAGACGGCTGGGTATGTGTTTAACAACAGAGTTGTTAGGGAGAACTATGTATCATGTTTGGGTAGTATCTCGTCTGTGTGAATTGAAGATGTTAGGTTGACGACGGCCCTGTTATCACCTTATCGACAGTATATACCACTGATGCAATGATACTTGACTAAAACAGCAACAACAGATATGCAACTGTATTTCACGAATGTAGGGTACAGTATAAAATTTATATTGGAGTAACTAACATTTAGAAAATACTAATGGAAACCTTGTTGTGGCGAGTATTCCTGGAATCTTGGTACAGTGGACCACACAGCTTACTTGCTAACTTCTGGCTTAGATCTTAGTCATACTTTACGTCCACTGGTGGGTCCCGTCTATTCGTAACAAAGCCTTAGACTGCTCATCTGATCCCAGTATATAAGCGCCCATCATCCTGTCTGTCCTTAAGATTCATCACGACTGAGGTACTGACCATCTGCTCCTAGGTTGAGGGACTGATTTGATAATATTCTGCTGTGTATAATTCTACAGAGATGAGGGCCTGACTACCCCCTCTTCTGTACTCTTACAAAATATGATACTAAAGAACTGAACCTATGTCTAATTAATGAACTAGGTAGTTAGGTCAATCACATTTTTCTAGTGGTATTTGTGGTAGCTATATTATCTTCATACATGTGTATGTGAGAGATAATAATGTAGTGGTAATGTAACTCATAGATTAGAAATTATGCTGTTCGCATTATCGTGTTCGTAGTTGTTAGGTTACTCCTTATCTCATGTTACTGGTAGTTATACTACTCTCTCACATTCGTATCAGAAGTGGTAATTATGTTACTTTAGCAGTTTAATGTAATGACTGCAACTGCCTTGACAGCCCAAATTATCATAACACTTGTTTTAAGCTACTTCTCAAAGTTATTTTACCTGACACACCAATAACATATTGACACACCAAAACGAAGTGACAAGCCTTTCCTCAGAGCTGGCAACACTACACCCAGTATTAATAATAATAATAATAATAATAATAATAATAATAATAATAATAATAATATTATTATTATTATTATTAGTAGTAGTAGTAGTAGTAGTTGCAGTAGTAGTAGTAGTAGTAGCAGTAGTTGCAGTAGTAGTTGCAGTAGCAGTAGTAGTAGTAGTAGTTGCAGCAGTAGTAGTAGTAGTAGTAGTAGTAGTAGTAAGTAGTAGTAGTAATAGTAGTAGTAGTAGTAGTAGTAGTAGTGGTAGTAATAGTAGTAGTATTTAAATATTCACATAGAGTCCGAAAGTGACATTCACCGCCTGGACAAAGGAAAACAGTGTGGTTTGATCTGATGTAAGAGAACGGTACCTTTAAGTATTGTATTAAGAGCACTTCACAGGCTTATATAAAGGCTTCGATCACGTCAGGGAACACCACGAGGGGATTTATTGTGATGCGAGCATTACGGAAAGTATTAAATCTCCGGGTTTTCTCTCTCACCATCCTGTGGATTTCTTCCGCAATGTTTTACCTCCCGTGAAGGAGTAGGACAACCCTGATGGCTGTTGCTGCTGCTGCTGCTTCCTGCCTGCTAAGCTGCTTCCTGCTTCCCCAGTTGCTGCCTGCTCAACTGCTTTCTGCCTCGTGAGCTTCATAGGCTATTTATTTCCACGGAATTCGGAAGTGTCATTCCCAACACATGATCATTGTGAAGAAAGTCTTCATCGACTCTAATCATTATTTTATATATGAATCTCTATGTATCATTACTGGTGACGTATGACACTCAACTTGGTTGGTTCACTCGCCTAACGAGTTGTTTAGTAAAATAATAATGATACCACATATGTCAGTAACTTAAATAATAAAATCTTTTTCAAAACCGACACTGGCATTACGTCAATCTTTGTGAAACTAAATTTTTTTTTTCACCCTGTGGTAGTTGACTTTTTTGATTTTACATTTCATTCAATTTCTTGTCACTGTCTTGAAACTGTTTCTTGGATGGCTGTGAGGGATGCCTCTCTGTCCCTTGTCTCTTTCTGCCTCATTTCCATGAGAACGGCAGCTGACGGAGTTTCAATTCTCTCATTTCAGTTTTCCATTTCTTGCACTTGAAAACTCCTGAAGTCAGATTACAGACTGTCAGAAAGACATAGAGCTGCTTATCCATTAATCCCGTGGCTTCGTTGTGCATACAGTATATATATATATATATATATATATATATATATATATATATATATATATATATATATATATGTCGTGCCGAATATGTAAAACTGGTCAATTAGCAAGAACTCATTTAAAATTAAGTCCTTTCTAAAATTTTCTCTTATACCTTTAAAGATATATTTTTTTTTCATTATTGTTAATGTAAAAAATTTTAAATTTGCACCAAAAGAATCTTACAAAACTTACCTAACCTTATTATAACAAGAACAATTTACTTTAGCCTAACCCAACTAAATATATTTTAGATTTGTTTACAATAATTTAATACTAAACAAACTCAATGAAATATATTTTTTTGGTTAGGTTCAGAATAATTTTGGAGAAATTATTGCATACACAAATTATCACTTGTCCTATATGGCAAGATGAGCGTTGCTATTTAAGCCAAGATCGCAAGTTCTGCCTATTCGGCACGACATATATATATTATATATATATTATATATATATATATATATATATATATATATATATATATATATATATATATATATATATATTCAACAAGTCGGCCGTCTCCCACCGAGGCAGGGTGACCCAAAGAGAAAGAAAATCCCCAAAAAGAAAATACCTTCATCATCATTCAACACTTTCACCTCACTCACACATAATCACTGTTTTTGCAGAGGTGCCCAGAATACAACAGCTTAGAAGTACCTACGTATAAAAATACACAATATATCTCTCCAAACTGCCAATATCCCAAACCCCTCCTTCAGAGTGCAGGCATGTACTTCCCATTTCCAGGACTCAAGTCCGGTTATATAAAATAACCGGTTTCCCTGAATCCCTTCACTAAATATTACCCTGCTCACACTCCAACAGATCGTCAGGTCCCAAATACCATTTGTCTCCATTCACTCCTATCTAACACGCTCACGCACGCCTGCCGGAAGTCCTAACCCCTCGCCCACAACACCTCCTTTACACCTTCCCTCCAACCTTTTCGAGGACGACCCCTACCCCGCCTTCCTTCCCCTACAGATTTATACGCTCTCCATGCCATTCTTTGATCCATTCTCTCTAAATGACCAAACCACCTCAACAAACCCTCTTCAGCCCTCTGACTAACACTTTTATTAACTCCACACCTTCTCCTAATTTCCACACTCCGTATTTTCTGCATAATATTTACACCACACATTGCTCTTAGACAGGACATCTCCAGTGCCTCCAACCGCCTCCTTGCTGCTGCATTTACAACCCAAGCTTTCACACCCATATAAGAGTGTTGGTACTACTATACTTTCATACATTCCCTTCTTTGCCTCCATAGATAACATTTTTTGCCTCCACGTATACCTCAATGCACCGCTCACCTTTTTTCCTTCATCAATTTTCTATGATTAACCTCATCCTTCATAAATCCATCTGCTGACACGTCAACTCCCAAATATCTGAAAACATTCACTTCTTCCATACTCCTCCTCCCCAATTTGATATCCAATTTTTCTTTATCTAAATCATCTGATACTCTCATCACCTTACTCTTTTCTATGTTCACTTTCACCTTTCTACCTTCACACACATTCCCAAATTCGTCCACTAACCTTTGCAATCTTTCTTTAGAATCTCCGATAAGCACTGTATCATCAGCAAAAAGAAACTGTGTCACTTCCCATTTTGTATTTAATTCCCCATAATTTAATCCCACCCCTCTCCCGAACACCCTAGCATTTACTTCTTTTACAACCCCATCTATAAATATATTAAACAACCATGGTGACATTACACATCCCTGTCTAAGACCTACTTTTACCGGGAAGTAGTCTCCCTCTCTTCTACACACCCTAACCTGAGCCTCACTATCCTCATAAAAACTATTTACAGCATTTAATAACTTACCACCTATTCCATATACTTACAACATCTGCCACATTGCTCCCTTATGCTCTCTATCATATGCCTTTTCTAAATCCATAAATGCAATAAAAACTTCCCTACCTTTATTTAAATACTGTTCACATATATGCTTCAATGTAAACACTTGATCTACACATCCCCTACCCACTCTGAAACCTCCTTGCTCATCCGCAATTCTACATTCTGTCTTGCCTCTAATTCTTTCAATAATAACCCTACCATACACTTTTCCTGGTATACTCAGTAAACTTATTCCTCTATAATTTTTACAATCTCTTTTGTCCCCCTTCCCTTTATATAAAGGGACTATACACGCTCTTCGCCAATCCCTAGGTACCTTCCCCTCTTTCATACATTTATTAAACAAAAATACCAACCACTCCAACACTATGTCCCCCCTTGCTTTTAAAATTTCTGTCATGATCCCGTCAGTTCCAACTGCTTTACCCCCTTTCATTCTACGTAATGTCTCACGCACCTCCCCCACACTCACAGCCTGCTCTTCTTCACTCCTAAAAGATGATATACCTCCCTGGCCAGTGCATGAAATTACCGCCTCCCTTTCTTCGTCAACATTTAAAAGTTCCTCAAAATATTCTCGGTATCTACCCAAAACATCCATCTACTAACTCCTCTTCTCTGTTTTTAACTGATAAATCCAATTGTTCCCTAGGCTCTCTTAACTGATTTAACTCACTCCAAAATTTTTTCTAATTTTCATTAAAATTCCTTGACAGTGACTCTCCCACTCTATCATCTGCTCTCCTTTTGCACTCTCTCACCACTCTCTTCACCTTTCTTTTATTCTCCACATACTCTACTCTTCTTATAACACTTCTGCTTTGTAAATACCTCTCATAAGCTACCTTTTTCTCTTTTATCACACCCTTTACTTCATTATTCCACCAATCACTCCTCTTTCCTCCTGCACCCACCCTCCTATAACCACAAACTTTTGCCCCACATTCTTATACTGCATTTTTAAAACTATTCCAACCCTCTTCAACCCCCCACTACTCATACCTGCACCAGCCCACCTTTCTACCAATAGTTGCTTATATTTCACCCGAACTTCCTCCTCCCTTAGTTTATACACTTTCACCTCCCTCTTACTTGTTGTTGCCATTTTCCTCTTATCCCATCTACCTCTTACTCTAACTGTAGCTACAACTAGATAATGATCCGATATATCAGTTGCCGCTCTATAAATGTGTACAACCTGGAGCCTACCCATCAACCTTTTATCCACCAATACATAATCTAACAAACTACTTTCATTACGTGCTACATCATACCTTGTATATTTGTTTATCCTCTTTTTCATAAAATATGTATTACTTATTACCAAACCTCTTTCTACATATAACTCAATTAAAGGCTCCCAATTTTCATTTACCCCTGGCACCCAAAATTTACCTACTACTCCCTCCACAACATTTTTTCCCACTTTAGCATTAAAATCCCCAACGACAAGTACTCTCACACTTGGTTCAAAACTCCCCACGCAATTACTCAACATTTCCCAAAATCTCTCTCTCTCCTCTATACTTCTCTCTTCCCCAGGTGCATAATCCACATAATCTATGAATTAATACATTTATAGTCCCTCTTTTCCTGCCATAGCTTATCCTTCAACATTAGTGCTACTCCTTCTTTAGCTCTAACTCTATTAGAAACCCCTGACCTAATCCCATTTATTCCTCTCTACTGAAACTCACTCACCCCCTTCAACTTTGTTTCATTTAAAGCCAGGATATCCAGCTTCTTCTCATTCATAACATCCACAATCATTTCTCTCTTATCATTTGCACAACATCCACGCACATTCAAACTTCCCACTTTGACAATTTTCTTCTTCTTATTCTTTTTAGTAATTTTTACAGGAAAAGGGGTTACTAGCCCATTGTTCCCGGCATTTTAGTTGACTTTTACAACACGCATGGCTTACGGAGGAAAGATTCTTATTCCACTTCCCCATGGATATAAAAGGAAAAGTAATTAGAACAAGAACTAACACAAAATCAAAGAAAACTCAGATGAGTGTGTATAAATAAACGAGTACATGTATGTTTAGTGTGACCTAAGTGTAAGTAGAAGTAGCAAGACGTACCTGTAATCTTGCATATTTATGAGACAGACAAAACACACCAGCAATCCTACCATCATGTAAAACAATTACAGGCTTTCGTTATACACTCACTTGGCAGAACGGTAGTACCTCTCTGGGTGGTTGCTGTCTACCAACCTACTACATCAATATATATATATATATATATTTATATATATATATATATATATATATATATATATATATATATATATATATATATATATTATATATAAGTGAACAGTATTTAGATAAGGCAAAGAGGTCTTTGTGGCATTTATGGATTTGGAAAAGGCGTATGACAGGGTGGATAGGGGGGCAATGTGGCAGATGTTGCAGGTGTATGGTGTAGGAGGTAGGTTACTGAAAGCAGTGAAGAGTTTTTACGAGGATAGTGAGGCTCAAGTTAGAGTACATAGGAAAGAGGGAAATTATTTCCCAATAAAAGTAGGCCTTAGACGGGGATGTGTGATGTCACCGTGGTTGTTTAATATATTTATAGATGGGGTTGTAAGAGAAGTAAATGCGAGGGTCTTGACAAGAGGTGTGGAGTTAAAAGATAAAGAATCACACATAAAGTGGGAGTTGTTACAGTTGCTCTTTGCTGATGACACTGTGCTCTTGGGAGATTCTGAAGAGAAGTTGCAGAGATTGGTGGATGAATTTGGTAGGGTGTGCAAAAGAAGAAAATTAAAAGTGAATACAGGAAAGAGTAAGGTTATGAGGATAACAAAAATATCAGGTGATGAAAGATTGGATATCAGATTGGAGGGAGAGAGTATGGAGGAGGTGAATGTATTCAGATATTTGGGAGTGGACGTGTCAGCGGATGGGTCTATGAAGGATGAGGTGAATCATAGAATTGATGAGGGAAAAGGGTGAGTGGTGCACTTAGGAGTCTGTGGAGACAAAGAACTTTG